GGGCCTCGGGAACGCAAAGTTGGGGTAACGTGTACGGGATTCTGGCTTCGGGAGAGCGGGGTTGCAGTACCTTGACATGTCCCAGGCCTTCCCAGAAATTTGGGCAACAAGCTTCGGCGTCGGCAGCGAGGGCGATTTTTCGGCCTCCCCCTCCTCCTGTGGACAGTAAGCGGGAGGAAGCCGAACGCAGAACTAGACCGGTAGAAATTGGATGATGTTACCGGTGCAGAGAGAGCAGGGGCCCGAGCCTCGCAGCCTGGTCGCCCTGCAAGGGTTCGCGACAGATCAGAGCGGAATTCGGCAGTATGGAACAGTAGAGGAGAGACCGTACCATATTTGATCAGAACAGATCATATCACATGGGCATAGAAGAGAGCAGGGCAGCATATACCTTAACACAGCATCTCACGCCGTAGCATAGCATCCCATCTTATGGTGTGCTAGGATCGACTGTTATAACCTACCATACGCGCACTTTTCAGATCATCGCATAACACACTGTAGCATTACGCGGCATAAGATCAGCGATCATGGCATACCATACGATCATGTTGCAGGCTCCAGCAGTACATCACCTTACACACCATATGACCACAGACTATGAGAATAGTAGATTATACGGAAATGCAGCATACCATGTTTGGTTCACAATCACATCGTAAGTAAGTGCGGGTAATAGAGACGATAACGCATCATATAACATACTCGATACTACACAACACTACCACATGGCATAATCAAGCATAGCACCCATATGCTATTATAGCGTATGTGTGAACATAGCATAACAAGACGTAGCGGCACATATCATCTTTCATCAAGTTTTAGGAGTATAATAAAAGAGAACACACCGTAACAGTACATACAAGCGGATATACATAACCTAATCGAGAAAGCCATATCATAAAATGATCTAATGTAATGGAAGACCAGTGTATATTCGAGTAGAAGAATGCGTACAGTCACCATGTTTACCACCGCCATTTGCTTCGTCCGCTTCCTCTGCAGTCTTTCTGGACGCTTTGTTTCAGCAGGCGCGCGCACCGTTGGGGACAAACATCGAAGGGTTGGCGGTGATCGCTCGAAGCGAATTACAGAATGTCCTGCCCCCTTCCCTGGCTCGGCTGGACGCGACCCGGCCGCCCAGGAAGAGCGGTGCATCGTGTCTGACACCGCGGGCACGACCATGGACGCCATCGTGTCGAATTGGAGCTTCAAGGAGAGCGCCCCCCGCGGCGCGCGGTCGTCTGGCGAGGTTTCTCCTACGCTTCCCCCCGCCCGACGGGTTAGGGTTGGTAGGCAGCCTGGCTATCCCGGGTGTCCCGCCCCGCTCGCCCGCCAGCCTTGCATCCGCGGCCGCCAGCCCCAGTGGCCCCGAGGGTCCCGAGCATCATCCCCGAGTGTACCGCCGCGCCCGCCCGCCTAAGGGCCCTGCACACCGCGGCCGCCAGGCCCCGATGTGCCTGAGTATCACGAGTGTTCCGAGTGTCCCGCCTCGCGGAGTTCCCGGCGTGTCCCGCCCGTAGCCCGACCAGCGCCTGTACCGCTCGTGCGCTCTTGCACTACTGCGACCGCTGGCAAAACAAAGTGTCCCGCGTCGCCTTCCAGCGTTCCATCAGAAGCAGACGACATCAAAACCAGACATCAAGAGCATGATGTCAGGCGTCGCGGCGTCACAGCGTCGCGCCGTGTAGGGCATGCATCAATCAACTAATCATACACGAATGACAGGCGCCAGCAGCAGACGCCGCTAACGCACGTCAGTGATATACTCCCAGAACTGCATCAATGACATACGTCAACGGCATAACAACATCGTACATCAAGCGCAGACATCTGAACATGCACAACAGCCACACGTCAATGGTACACATCGGGAACTCTACATTAATACCAAGCAACACGATCATGCTGTGCCAATCACACACTTGAAGAACATTCAGCAATAACATGAAGAGGGAGCCTCCATCCGCCAATGTCGCACACTGTAAGCGGACATTTATGTCGTGTGTATAAACAACTAGGCAGTATAGATGAGCCACATCTGCAGTGTGCACACGCACTGCTTATGTATATGGAATCCGATATAACACGCGTGCGAGACGAGCGCCACTAAGATACGCAACAACCATACTCAGACGAAAGCGCAACTTGTCACACTCTCCGGACCGAGCTCGAAATAGATCTCTACCTCTTTCGCATCAGCTCCTCGCCCGATTTGGATCATTGCCTTTGTGGCGTCCGGCCCGTCAAGGAGGGGGTTGTGGATTCACTTCGGCAGAATTTCTTGCGAGGATCGTATGGGTCACCCGCAGCAGCACGAGGCCGCGATGCGCGCTTCGTGCTCGGGGCCGGAGCGAGCGAGAGCTCGAAGGCAGCCTCGCATTGCTCTTCGCGCGGCGCGAAAGGCGAAGGTAGGGGGCGGCGAGCTGCACAGGAGGGGGGCACACTTCGGTATAAGAAGCCAAAAGTTTCAAATCCAGGATGCTCTGTGAAGGCGCCCCCCCCCCACCCCAAAGCGTGCCCCCAGTGGATGCTCCCCCAGATGCCCCTCCCCCCAGATGCTCACCAGGTTGGGACTGGGATGCTCCCCTGGGACGCTCTCCTAGTAAGGCAGGCCTTCGACTTCGGTCCCTCGCCCCAGGGTCGTCCCCTGAACTGCCACCAGCAAGTTTCCTCCATTTGTGGTATCCGACTGTCACGCCTCTCCAAAGCAGCCTTCGGTTGTCCTGGCTGTTGTGGGGCCAACATGTGTATGGAGCGGAGGAGGAGAAGAAGGAGGAGGAGTAGCTGAAGGATAGGAAAGATGAGGAATTGGATGAGGATGAGGGTGGTAACTGCGACCACGACGGTCGCACATGAATCAGGGCAACAGTTGTCCCTTGTTCTCTTCGACGTTTCTCAGGACGTGCACGGGTGCGGCTTCCCGTCGGTCCTTATCAGGGCCTTCGTTTTGCGTTTGTTTTTGTTGCGCTACCTGCTTTGGCTCAAGCTGTCTCATCCGACGTCACGTTGTTATCGGAACGTGGGCCCCCCTGACTTCTCGGCCCCATCACAGCGATTGCCTTTTCAGTCCGGATCTTCTCTGACGGTCACGGCGCTCGGTGCCAGCCTGCACGTTTGTGCGTTGGACACCATTTGTGACAGCGCATGCTCTCCCGGGTGTTATGTGCAGCATCCTTGCCTGGGCAGTTTATCTAATGGCCGCCAGCCCATCTCGCCACCGTTCTTGGGTTGTGGGTTTGAGTCCTCTTGAATGCAGGTTTGGGTGTCTTGGGATGCCTCTCGGAGACTTCTTGGATTCAGTTTTGAATCCTCTTGGGGGCCTCTTTGCTTCTTGGGGGTCTCTTGGGGCATCGTTTCGGCCTCTTGGGGGCTTATTTTGGGCGTGTCGGGGGTCTTGGGTGCCATCTTGGGGGGAAAGGCTCGAAATACCAGTCTGGTTACCCCTCTTGGGGCTCTCTTGGGACCCCTTGGGTGGCCTCTTGTGCTGTCCTGGGGGCCTCTTGGGCCGTCTTGGGGCCCTCTTGGGTCGTCTTGGGCCCTTTGGTGGGCCTCGTGGGCCGTCTTCGGTAGAGGGGGCCTTTTGGATTGTCTTGAGACAATCTTGGAGGCTTCTAAGGCTGCCAGGAATTTGATGAAGCCCGATAAAGCAAACATGCGCAAAACTCCGCTGTCCCAAGGGATTTGGGCGATTGTCCTCTCGGGGCTCTCTACGGGGCGCTCGTGGTGCTCACTTGAGCCTTTTTTGGGGGCCTCTTGGGCCGTCCTTGGGCCATTTGAGGATCTGCGGGCGATCTTGAGACGAGTCGAGGCTCTCCTGGGCCGTCGTCGCCACGGTCCCTTCGGGCCCGTCTTGGGACCCTCTAGCTTCCAGAAGACGTCCGCGACACACCCCAAGAGCTCCTGGAAATCCATTCAGAGTTCCCAGGAGCCGCTGGGAAACCTGGGGTCCTTTCCCGTAGGAATCTAGAATGCAGGCTGCAAAAGCAGCACAGCTGTGAGCCTTGGAGCGCTCCACTTCGTGCCAAGGGCATGGTGGCGGGTACTTCGATGGGCTTTATACACTTCAACGTGTGCCTGTCTGCTTGCCTGTCTTTCCTCCTGATCCTCCTCCTCCTCCTCCTCCTCCTCCTCCTCCTCCTTCCGTAGCGATTTTGGCTCAACACGATTCGATCTCTCATTTTGGTGTCCGTGCCCACTGCGCCGCCCACTCCGCATCCTCTGACGCCTTTGCCCCCTGCCGCCACCAGCGTCTCCTGTGGGCAATGTCGTCGCCAGGCACGCTGACGAGCTGCTCCGCCGTGGCGGCCGGCCTGGGCGTACTCGGCGGCGCCATCCTCGTCGGCAGGGAGCTGGCCGCCTGCCGCCGCGAGCTCGCCGAGCTGAGGCAGCGCGCCGCGGTGCCGCCAGCCTGCCTGTCAGAGCCTATCCCGGTGGTCGCCCTGCCGGTCCCAGCGGCGGTTGCGGGCAGCGAGGGCCGGCGGGGAGACGGCGGCGTGTGCTCGCCGTCGTCCGCAGAGGCGCAGAGCGAAGGGGGAGGGGTGAGCGCCCTGCCGGCCCCGACTAGGGCAGCGGGGGGGGGCGAGGGGCCGGATTCGATGGGGTGGAAGGGCAAGGGTGGGAAGGGCCCTGCGTGTGACAGGGGGAAGGGGGCAAAGCTCCGCGCGCGCGTGCCCATCTCTACGGCGGACCGGGCCCCGCCGCTACGGCCAGTGGTGCGGGCGCTGAGACCCTGTGCGGACCCGCGCGAAGACCCAGCCGTGCTCATCCAGTGCGACCCCGACCCCAAGATGGTGGCCCGTCGGGAGGCCGCGGGCATGGAGGGGGCCTCCGTGCTCATCCTGCCTGGCGGCAACTACGACAGCTGCAGCCTTGGGTTCCCCCTGCGAGTGGCCCTGTGGCTGGCCGAGCTCGGCCTGGTCGCCTTCGTGCTGCGCTATCGGCTCCGTAGCGAGGGCCACTTCTGGCCCGCCCAGGAGGAGGACTGCAGGGAGGCGATGTGGCTGATCCGCGAGGGGCTCGGCCCAGGCGAGGGGAGGCACTGCCCGGTTGGCGTTCTGGGCTTCTCGGCTGGTGGCCACCTCGCTTCCTGGGGGGCTACTACGTTCGACGGGTCGCTGCGACCAGACTTTCACATGCTGATCTATGCCACGACCAACGTAGAGACGCCAGTGTGGGACCCGTGGAAGGCGCGCTTCGGCTACCCTGGCACGGAGGCCAACACGGTGCCGAAGGTGAGCGGGCGAACGCCCCCTCTGTTCGCGGCGGTGAGCACCGAGGATGATATCACGTCGTACGAGGAAAATACCGCGCCGTACGTGGCGGCTTGCAAGTCTGCTGGGGTGCCAACGGAGCTCGTGCTGGCCAGCATGGGGAAGCATGGCCATCCGATGGTGGACGCCTGGACCAAGCCGTGTGAAAGCTGGCTTCGAAGGGGAGGCTGGATCATTTGAGAGCGAGTCTCAACAGGAGGCCGTTGCGCTGGCCTCATGAATTGCGACTGTTGAAAGAAACATGTTTGCACCACTTCGGCTCGAGCTGCGAATTGGAAGGCACTGCTGCTCCCCCGCGCCCCCGACTTTAATATTGAAAGTTGTGACATCTCCCCGGGGCCGTTCGACAAAATAATATACATTCCATTTCAGTGTGCGCATCCGCTCGCAATGTTAAGGTCGGGGGCGAGGGGGTCGATCATCAGTTGTCGTGCCGCCCAGGTGGTGCAAAATTGTTTCTTTCAACCGTTTGAACAAGATGAGCAAACACAATGTATAATGTTCCTTTCCATGATGTTACCAGGCGTCTATGCGCTCGCACGTAAGTGAATGTGTGTGTGCGTGTGTGTGTGTGTGTGTCTGTGTGGGTGTGTGCGTGGTGTGTGTGTGTGTGTTACTAGATGCAGAGTCGTGCCGGCCGTTCAGTCCCCTCGGCTTCTGCAGCTTCCACGGGCCAGCTCGCGCTGGTGCAGATGCGTGGGACTGCGCGGGCGAAGCTCGCCCAGCGATCGCGCGAGATTCAGGCAGGAAGCTGGCCCAGGTTTCTCTGAGCAGTGTTACATTCAGCATACGCCTCCTTCTGGCCAGCAGCGCGAGCTTAGTTTAGGCGGTCCTGGGGCTCCTTGGGACTTCGCTGGATCCGCGTTGGGGGGCACTCTCGCGCTGTCTTGCAGCCATTCTTGGCCATCGTTGGATCATGCGGGGGCTATCTTCGGGCCGTCTTGGCCACTCTGGATCGCTATTGCTGCCCTCCTGGGGCTGAGTAGAGTGGATAAGAGTGGGCTGGAGGGGTTGGAGTAGAGTGGCGGGGAGCATTGTGAAACGGCCCGGAGGGGAGTGGGGAGGACTTGGTATGATTTGGGAAGAACGGGGAAGAGCGCAGGAGTGGAGTGGATTGGAAACCACTTTGGAGTTGTGGGGGGGGAGGGTGGAGGAGGCCGCAAGAATTTGGGCAGGGGGTGGACAGGTGGTGGCGGGGAGGGGAGGGGAAGGATTCAGAGGAGGGCGGATGAACGCGGAGGGGAGTAGAGCGGGGATGTGCGGTGCAGAGTCGGGGTGACTTGGCGGGAGTGTAGGGGAGTGGGCAGGAGTGCGGGACATGGCAGAGGAAAAGGAGGAGGCGGAGCCGGGAGGATTGGGGACTAAGGCAGAGGAGGGGAGTGAGGCAGGACGGGGAGGAGTGGAGTGGGGTGGGGTAGAGTGGAGAGGAACGGGGGTTGGCTTGGGAGGAGTGGGTGGAATTGCAGATGAGGGCGGAGGAATTAGCGCGGAGGGGTGGGGAGTAGTGAGGGGGAGTAGGGAAGCGTGGGTAAGAGTGGACCAGATGGAGTGAATAGGATCGGGGAGGATTGGAGCGGAATGGACAGGACGGAGGTCGAATGTTTTGGGGTACTCGTGAGTCCTCTTGAGGCCTCCCTGGAGGCCCTCGTGGGCTTGGTCCGTGCTGGGGCCCCATTGGGCTCTCATGAGGCCTCTCTTGGGGCATGTGAGGCCTCTCTTGGGGCCGTCTTGGGGCACTCTTGGGGCCGTCTTGGGACACTCGCGGGTCCTTTTGAAGCCTCCCTGGAGGCCCTCTTGGGCGCACGCAAAGATAACGGGCGATGCGCGAAGGTAGGTCGCCTAGGCTAGTCGAGTAAAACGTTAGACGAGTTATCCACCACCATCCACTTATCATCACAACGTCATGTCACCAATGTCCAAGCGTTTACGCGCAGATATTCCTGTGCGCTCCACCCTCGACGACGACGACGATGACGACGACGAGTGCGACAGTGACGACGACGAGTACGACGACAGCGACGACGACGATCGATGTGCTGATGTATACGCGCATGCGTGTATAGATACACGGATGCGGATGTTCTGGGGCATTCGTGAGTCTTATTGAGGCCTCTCTGGAGGCCCTCGTGGGGTGGTTGTGCAGGGGCCCCATTGGGCCCTCCTGAGGTCTCTCTTGGGGCATGTGCGGCCTCTCTTGGGGCCGTCTTGGGGCTCCCGTGTGTCTTCTGGAGGCCTCCCTTGAGCCCTCTTGGGCGCGGTCCGTGCCGGGGCCCGCATTCCACTCCATCCCAAATCTTCCACGCAACTCCCCACTCCTCGCCTCTCCACTGCAATCCTTGGCACATCTCCGCATTCCTTCCCACTTCACTTTGCCCTTTTCCCTCCGCCCATTCCTCCGGCCTTCTCCAGCCTGCTCCCCAATTTCCCCAGTGAGTCCGTTTTACTCCATTTGGCCTCCTCCACCCTCTTCCCAACTTGTTCGCATTCTTCCCCACCCCGCACTTTTCCGCATTCTTCCCCACTCCTCCCCGCTTCCATCCGCTCCTCTCCGCTCCTCGCATTCCTCCGCTTCCTCCTCGCTCCACACACTTCTCCGACTCATCCCCGCTCCTTCCCACTCCACTCCACCTTACTCCACCCTATTCCCCTCGCCGACCCGCAGTCCTCCCCACTCCTCTCCACTGCTCCTCCGTCCTGTCCAGCCTTCCGCAAGCCGCCCCTTCCGATTCCGCCTCCCTCCTCTGCACCACTCCACATCAAACTCCTCCACGATCCCTCCACCTCTTCTGGCACTCCTCCGCGCTCCTCCCCACTCCTGCCCACTCCTCCGCCTGAGCCTCTCCTCCAGAGTACTCCCACTCCTCGCCATTCCTCTGCTCACTTCTCCACTCCCCCTCATTCCTTATCATTCTTCCCCACTCCACTCCACCCAGTCACCGCATACGTCGACCACAGCACTTTCCGTTTACGACTGTTGAAAGAAAAATGTTTGCACCATTTTGGCTTGAGCTGTGCGCGTCCGCTCTCAATGTTAAGGTCGGGGGCGGAGGGGTCGTATCATCAGTTCTCAGTTGTCGTGCCGCCCAGGTGGTGCAACTTTGTTTCTTCCAAACGGAGCTCGTTCAGAAAGGTCGAACGCGGTGTATGCAGCTCCAGCAAGGTGGTTGAGAGCGACAGCCTCTGGATGCAGCGGCGAAGGGCTCGTGTTCCCTGCTTGGGCGGCCTGCTTCTTGATCTGCAGCCCTGCGCCCCCTCGGGAGAACGAGCCAGAGCACCGCATGTGCCTCGGACAGCGGGCCTGCGTGGAGCGGCCAGCACCGCCGCCCTCGCTTCTCTTCGCTCGTCCTCGGAGCAATGTCGGCCGCACACCGTTCAACTCCTCCTCCTCCTCCTCCTCCTCCTTCCCACCTGTGCTGTTGTACTTGTGAGACGCTGTATGTCCAGCAGGTGGTGCGCGCGACATGCGATTTTGGCAACCTCGCTGCCCATTCCCCCTCGTGCCTCGCCTCCTCTGGTCCTCCTCTTCCTCCCCTCCCTCACTCAAACGGTGTACCAGCCTGTCCTGCCGCGAACTGGGCTGCGCATCGATTCCGTGACAGCCCGTGTCGTGACATTTCGGTTGTGCGTAGCCGCTCTTCACGAGCCCTCGTTGTACCTCTGGGCAAACACAGGCTCGAACGTTTAACGGGGAGTTTCTGTTTCCTCGCCACGTCCCTCCGTCGTCGTGGTCGTCGTCCTCCACCCTCTCCGGTTCCACGCCTTCACAGGTGTGTGTGTGTGTGCGTGTGCTGAAAGTGACAAACTTGAGAGGCCGAGCTTGCCTCATCTGGTTGCGTACCAGAAAAAAGGAACCCGACGCCAGCCTCGAGACCCTTTTTGTATCCCCCAGCGATATCGGGCGGGACCGGGAGGGCAGGAGGCCAGTCACGTCACGGCCCGCGCCAGGGCCATTTGGAAATATTTTAGAATGGCTCATTTTCAGGCGGCGCTGGTGCGAATCGTGACGTGATCAGGGGGGGGGGTCGGGGCCAGTCACGGGCGTTATCGCGAATCATAGAAACATAGACCCGACGCCAGCTTTTTGGAGGCCAGCTTTTGGGAAAGCAATCAGTCGCGAGTTTCTCGTGGCGCTTGGGGTCTGTGTCAAGAGCTCCTGGTCGGGCCGCTCGTGGCGCGCTTTGTGGTGCGGCTGCGCCCTCGAGGCTGCTTGTTGGAGCAGGAGGTCTCGGAGACGGGAGTGAATAGTGACGAAGACTGATGGCAGTTCCTGTCGACTTTGAACAGGCCTCGCTGTCGGTGTCGCCGCGGACGTTGTCCATTTGAGACAGAAGGCTGCCTGCCCAACGGCGGCCGCTGTCGGTTTTGGACAACATTTGTTGTTGGGAAGCGTCTCCGTTCTTTCCGTACTCATTTCGGGCGTCCACAACGTGCAGTGCATCACAAATGTTGGTTGGCCTTTCATCGTTGGGACCCACCTATTCTCACCAATGTGCTCCCCGAACCCTCTCGGGATCTCGAACAGCAAGCAGCAATAACCCCTCTGTACGTAGCCACCTTAGGATCAAGTTTCGCCATGGTCGAAGGCTCACCTTGAATTGACACATCTTCGAGTGCTTGATAGCTGGCTGCCTCTCGGAGGCGGTGGGGCAGGACTTTGTACCATCGTTTATTGGCGGCGAGCCCGAGGGGGAAGTGAGGAGGGGCGGGCCTTCTCAGAAGGCTCGGAAGGCCTCTGACCTTCTGAGAAGTTATCTGAGCCTTCCCCAAAGACGCAGAACACCTCTCAGAATGTGCGATGGCTTCCGAGAAGCCCCGCCGCCTTCTGAGAAGGCCCCTCCTTCTCACCTCCCTCGCTCGCCGCCGAGTTTAGCTCGGCATGGAGCCGATCGATGGGAACTTGCTTCAGGCAATTGTTGCGCTATCCGGGGTGCTTCGCGTCCCCCGGTGCAAGCCACTGTCAGGGGCGACGAAAGGGAGGGATAGGCACAGGGGGGGATGCATCAATCCCCAATCGCCCACAGACCGCCGATAGGGGTCTGATAGCCCCACACGGCCCGGGAACGTTCGGATTCGCTATCGGGTGCATATCGCCGATCTATCGGTGGTGATGTATCGAGGATTCCAGGTCGACGTTCCTCCCCATGGCCAGCCCCCCCCCAATCGTTGCCCCTCAGAGAGGGGCAGAGCTGAGGCGAGCCATTGGGCACGCGTGCAGGGCCCGTTTCGATCGGATCGATCCGATTCGATACCGATTCTGGCCGGCCCGATCCGACTCGGTTTCGACTATCCGACGATCCGGTGTCGTCCGATGCTCACGGCGCTGTTGCGCATCCTGGCGCGGGCGAGTCGATTCGATTTCGACTCTGTGCCCAGCCCGATCCGACGCGCATTTCGATTCGATCCGATTGCCCGATTCGATGCTGACTGCTCCTGACGTGTGCGGGGGGCCCACGAGGGCACCGGGGCCCCAGAAAGCCTTACCAGCGCCTCTCCACCAAGCCTTTCCAGCCTGACGGCTGTCTTTCCGCTACAACAGTATATGTGCACAGACACCCTCCAACTCATGGCTCCTTCGCCTCAGGGAAGGGGCGGCGGCATACAAAATCACCACTGAGAGCGAGCGGCTTTGTACACCGCCGCTCTTCCTGAAGGGACGTGCGGAGTTCGTCGGAGGGTCTCCGTGTACACACTGTCGTGGCGTAGCCTCGGGAGCCTCAGGGGGCGGGGGCCGTCCTGAGGCAGCCGTGGGGCGCCTCTCTCGCGGGCACCCTCGGCGGGCCCCCCCTCAGGGCTCCGTCGGAGGCCCTCCTCGCGGCCTCCGGCGCCCGTCCCTGGGCCGGCCATCCCTCTGGTTCGAGAGGTCGAGAGCGCTGATCCTCAGCACGGGATCTCGGCTACACTTCAGAGTGACCTTTCGCCGCAGTGACCTTTGGTGTGCGCCCACTGGGGCCTCCCGATCGCCGAGTGCGGTGCGATAGTAGCGTCTTGCGCCCTTGTGTTTTGCCCCCCAGCGGCCCCCAAACAACCGCGCACGAAAGGTGGTCACTCTTACCTAGGGTCGCTCTTGCGTGTAGCCGAAGGATCGCGGGATACTTTCGGTAGCAATCGGCGGCGAGCGAGGGGCGGAAATGAGAAGGAAAGTGCCTTCCGAGAAGGCGGCGGGACTCTTCAGAAGGCCTCTGGCCTTCTGAGAGGTTTTCTGTGTCTTCGGGGCAGGCTCGCAAAACTTCTCAGAAGGCCAGGAAATTTGCTAGCCTTCTGAGAAGGCCTTCTCCTTCATACTTCCCCCTCGCTCGCCTCTGAAGCAAATCTTGGTGGCCGTGTATATCCTCTTAAGTCAGTCTTTCGCGCCGATTAGCATCGATTGGCGTCTGGTAATCGATGAGACAGCGCCGATGTAGCGTCGAGTTAGCGTCGATGTAACGTCGAGTAGCGTCGATCAGCGTCGATGAGCGACGCTCTGCAAGAGCCCGCAAGATGGTAGGGGAGGCTCCCACGAGTTGCCACTGAAGGGTGCTGTGTCCCAGCATTGCCCCAGGGCAGTTCCAGATCGCTTTCTTATTCATTGTTTTGCCGATCGGGCCATCGCACCCCCCCTCCCCCGCCCCCCCCGGGGTAGATTTTAGTTGTTTTATTGTTTTTGGCGCCTGTTTCAAGCAGGTGAGGTCTCCCCCATGGGACGCACTGTTGCAAACAGTCGCATTAAGCAGAGGTCACCCCACTCCCTTCCGCCCAATGTCGAAACGCCGAATAAGAGCTCACTAGCCGCAAGAGGGCCCCAAGGCAGGACAAGCCTGCCATACCTCGCCCTCTCAAAAGAAATGGATGGCGATTGACGTTTCTGTGCAGGGGACGGAAAGGGCGAGGTACGAGGGATGACGTTCTGGTGGGGCGAAGCCCTTTGGGGAGGGGTCCAGGGGAGGGGCGAGGGCGGCAGACAATTGCGTAAGACGCCCCCCACCCCCCCCGCCCCAAGCACCAAAAAAAAGAGAGGCCCCCAAGAGGGCTCCAGAGGCGTCCTGGACGGCCCATCTGATTAAGAAACCTGCTCCCGACTAGCTGGACCAGCGTTTCTGAACCAACTTGCCAGAAAGCTGGCCCAGTTTCTCCAGCGCGTTCGGCCCTCCAGCATGAACAACAGAAGTTTGCCCAGGCTTGTTTAAGATAGTTCCAGGAAGCTGTCCCAGATTTCTCAATTGATAGTTTTGTTGATCATATGTTCGGCTGTAGCCCCAAGAGGGCCCCAAGACAGGACAAGCCTGCCATACCTCTCCCTCCCAAAAGGGCGGCGATCGCCGTCTCCTTGTTGGCCAGGTCCGACGCGCCCCTGGCTCCTTGGGCCGGCGAGTTGTTGTTTTGCCTTGGCCTTCCTATTTGCTGCGCAACGAAGGTTTGGACATGGGATCGGCTCGGGTGGCTCGTTCACACGGTCAGAGCACGGCAATGCCACGACACAGCGCACGGAAAGCAGGCGTGCGAAATGAAGGACGAGGTGCAGCTCACTGATATCGTCTTCGAGTACACAGATCCGGACCAAGGGGGGCACTTCAGGTTGAGAGGTATCTCAGACCCTGGCGTGGAGGCATTTGCAGCGTACAGCGGTCTCGTTGCCAACCTCACGCTCGCAAGCGTGCTCGCTGTGGTGGTCCTCTGCGCCGTGCAGTTTCAGCGCATCCGGAGCGGGCGGAACGGCACGTGCGCGGTGATCGGCTTCTGGCTCACGAGGGTGCCTCTGTGGATTTCTGCTCTGCTGGTGCAGGCTTGGCGATGCCCAGGGGTCAGGGCGAGGGGGGACGGCCTCCTAAGAAGGCACCCCGTCTCACAGACGGCATACTGCTTTTCACAAATCCTTCCTAAAAGCCTGTGGGAAGGGCCAATCCCTTGCAAGACGCCACCCGGTCTTCTCAGAAGGCTCCCCCCCGCACCCCGCCCAGTGTGTGCGCCCCGCCAGCAGGTCTTATTCTTGGTGCAATTGGCCTGCGTCTTTGCATTCCTCATCCTGGACTGCCTGTGCCCACCGAGCCCTGGGCAGAGCAGCGCAATCCCCTACTTCGATGTCGAAACCAAAGATTATTGCTACAGCAGCAGGCAGCGGGGAGGTGGCAGGACCGTTGCCCACTGGGGGATCTGGACAGTTGTAGGGTACACTCTCGTCTTTGTTGCCCTGGTTCTCAGTGTCGTTTAACCTTCTCCAATCCTCATCGGGCCATGGTATCTAAGCCCCATCACACGCCCCCAGTTGGAGATAGGCCCCTCGAAACCCGAGGGGAACAGCCTATATCCCCATCTACTGGGGGGGTACATCGGCCAGTGGGGCCCTGGTCACGCCAGTAGGGATAGGGATCGTTGAAACGATGCTCAGGTTCTCATGGCGTCATCGCTCACTGCTGATTATGTTTGGCTGAGGCGGACAGTTCGTCTGGCAGGTGCGGATCTTCTTGGATGATCGAGTTGTGCATCTTCCACACACCGCGCCATCGGCACACTGCCTGCAGTGATGGCATGCCTGCATCGTTCTAGCAGTGCCTGCTCCAGCGTCCACTCGTACAGTATACGTACGTGGTGCCATTGACCCAGATGTGTCCAGCGAGTTTGGGCCATCCTTCCGTGACAGCTGTTGGTTGGATGTCGCCCTGAAAAAGATGTTGTTGGCCCGGATGTTCCAGCCCCAGGATTGAATACGAAGTGCAATAAGTAGCAGTGACCACAGCGAACCCGCAGGACACCGAGCCAATTATGACACCGAAGACGATCATCATCTTGCCAGGGAAGAGCAGATCCTTGCCAGGTAAAGCCGGATCACCAAGCATGATTAACATCAGCAGCCAGGCTAGAAGACATCGCCCAACGACACCCTTGAAGCTCTCTCCCTCCCTCCTCCTTTGCCTTCCGCCTTCCTTCGTCGCCAGACATCCGACGATATGTTTTTTCAACGCGCGGCTCCAGATGCCCCGATCATTTCCCCAGGGGTAGTTTTTCGTCCCAGATCCATGTTTGAGGGTCCCAGGCACCGATGACGCACACCAGATGCCGAAATCGAGGAAAGCCGCCCAGATGGAAAAAACACGTCGTCGGAGATCTGGGTCCCTCTCTCGCTCCCTCCCCTCCCCTCCCCTCCCCTCCCCTCCTCTACCGTCGGCTCGAGGCCCTCGCGTCGCTGAGGACTGCCTCGGCAAGCGAGGGCGACCCGCGGGCCGAGGGCGCGAAACCGCTCGGGGCCTGGCCTCGCCAGGCAGCCGGCGCGCTGCCCAGCGGCGCGCTGCGCCCGGCGGCGCGCTGCCCCCGCGCGCGCGCCACTTGGCCGCGCCACCGACGGGCCCCGCCGCCCTGCGCAGCCGTGGCCGCCCTTCGCGGCCCCGCTGGCCAGGAGGCTCGTCGGGAGCCACCTGTGCAGCATCAGCCATCAGCCGGTGACGGCGCGATCGTCATCGCCCCGCCCCCTCAGAGGGGGACAGGGCACCGATACCGCTACCCTTGCCTCGTTTTCGCCTTTTTGGGGCCTCCTGGAGGCCCTCGTCGCCGCCGCTGGAGTCGCCCCGAAATTCCAGTCAGAACGCACCCCAGGAAGGTTTGGGGAGAAGTGGTACTATCGGGACCTTCTGGTTTCCCCCTACGCTGCGTTCGTTGCGTGATGCTTGGCCCCGAACCAATCCTCCGGGTCGGTTTTAGAGGTCGCCGCGGCGATCGAGGTGTCCACGATTCGGGGCAAGGGTTTTGCCAAGGAGTGGCATGTAAGCGTGGCTCATCGTTAATAGTATGGCGACAGAGAGTTGCCAATTTACGTCCAACATGGACAGTCATATTCTTGCTGGGTGGGGGGTCGATTCTCACGCAACTATGTGTGCCAGCTGCCTCGCTCTCTTGGTGAGCCCTGGAGTGCGAGGTCTTCCCGCCGCTCCCAGAGGCCCCTCCTGCATGTGACGAGCCTCGATCGCCGTTGCCGACGGCGACGCTGCTACGGCGACGCCAGCCCGCTTGAGGTCCAGCCGGCGCCCTTATCGATTACGCGCGAGTGCCAGGCCGCCCCAGCCCACGCAGCAAAGACAGCCCGAGGCAGACTCACGCCGACGACGACGCCGCTCGGCCACCCCGCTCCGAGCACCGCTGCAGTGCCGCCGCGCAGCGCTCGGCACTCCCGCCGACCGCGCCGCCGACGCCGACGCGAGCGCCCACGGGTCCAGCCGCCAGCCCTGGCGATCACGCTTGAGGCTGCTCTCGAGCTCGCCCCCGCCGCTCTCGGCCAACCCCGCGGTCGCCCTCGCCGCCGCGCCCCATGCGGCTCTGCCCCCTTCTCGGAGACTCGTCCCGCCCCGCACACCCGCTGGCTCGTTCGGGTCCTGCGCGGGCACGTGGCGGGAACCGCTCGGCGAGATCCATCGACGGCTGCAGGACACAAAACGCTGTGGACCCTAGGTGCGGAAGGGTCTCCACGTCAAGGGGCACGTGGCACGCGTGCTGACTCTCTTGCCCCGCCAGGTCCTGCGCGGACACTCTTCCGCAAGCTCGGGAGCGCTGCAGCTCCAGAGCCCCTCCCAGAGACCCATGAGGACGACGAGCTCCCAGGAGACCGCATCGCACGCAGGATGCGACCAACGCCTGCGTCGCCTCCACCACACAGGACGCGACACACTCACACACACACATACACATGAGCCGCCTCCACCGCCCACCAGCGGATCCACCGCCCCTTTCGTAGGGGCTGCGCGTCATGTTGAGCAACCAGACGGCCCAACCCCTTCCACGGGTGGCACGGGAGGGTTGCTGGCCACCCTGGACCTTGTCTGGCTGACCATCCCACTCTTGTCACCTTGGCCGCACTCTGCCCTGCTCCTCGTGGCCCTGGATGCCGGTGCTGTTCTTGCGCGGAGCAGCGTTCCCAACACACGCGCGTTCGCCGACTGCGTCGACTCTTGCGCTGGGCGCCATCCTGAGATTTGTTTTTACCCTCTGGCGCGTAACAGTCATTACCCGGACCCCCACCCCATGTAACAGTAACGATCGTACATGGGGGGGGCTGGGATGGATCCCCCCACATGCTGGTGCTCGCGCGCATGCTATGGCGAGCGCTGCGCCCCCCCCCGCCCCGAGGTGCCCCACCACGTCCAAGCGTCACCGTTACCCCGGTCACATCCCCCCCCGGTAACGACCGCCACTGGGAATAACAAAACCAGTTTCTTTGTCCACCCTGGCCGCCTTGCTTCTCCTGTTCTCGACTGGCCATCGGGCTTGCCGTTCGCGCGTCCTTTGCTTGCCTCGCCAACGCCCGCCGCTGCGCCCCGGGCGCGGCTCAGTTGGAAGCCAAGGATTTGCGCTCGCGGAGTCTTCAGTCCTCCAGAGCCCATCGCTGGGGTGACACAGCCCCCGTCGATGGTGCACGTCTTCGCGTCCCTCACCGAGAGCGCCCTGCAGGCCAAGGCGCGGGAGCTCGGGTTCGCGCACCCTCTGAAGACCCTCCTCGGGCTGCGCCGTGCGGTGCTGTCGCGTGCGCTGCCGCGGCATGCCGAGGTGGGAGCTGCGGGGACCTCGGCTGGTTCGGGACGGGCCCCAGTTTTCCTCCAGCTTTGCTGAGCACTGTTCGGCCGCCGAGCGGAGGAGCCACGTGAAGGAAAGCAGTCGCAGCTCGTCCATGGACCGCGCCCAGTGGTGCGGGCGTGTGCGCTCAAAGCGGCAGGGACGCGGGGTGCATCACAATATTCGCCATGACAATCACGCATTGCTGAAGATCCCACGGCAATCGCACGATGCCATTACGTTCACACGTTGCCTAAATATTCGCAGCACTCGCACTCACGACAACGAATGCCCACCATGTTGCGCGGGTGCAGCCAATCGCAATTTTCCAGGATCCCCTCTTAGCAATCGCACGCGCAGAACCGACGGCCTGCGATGACGCGAGTTTTTTTAGGCCTGCCCTCCTCCCTCGCTTGCCCATCCCTCTGCGTTCCTCCTCTCTCCCTCCCCACGACCCCTCCTTCCTCTTTTCCTTGTGCTGCTGTTGCGCCTCCCCCTGCTACCCTGTTGTCGGACAACTGCTTAATTCTGGCGGCTCGGGTTTTCGGCAAGCTGCCCCACAGTCTCCAGTACTTCGCCGATGATCGCCTCATCCCTAAAGATGATATTAGGTATTCCTTAAGCCTGCAGCGAGCTTGGTCATCCTCCTTCCGTCCTCCCCTTTTTTCCTTGGACAGGCCATGGAGGCACACAAGTTGGAGGCGTCAGCGTGGCGGCTACCAGCGAAAGGAGGCCGCAGACAAGGCCAGGCAAGGCAGCGAGTAGCGGCCGCCCAACAGGCCCGCGAACCTGTCGTCCACGACCAGGACGGAGTGGCCACCACCCGTCCCTCCTCGCCCTGCTCTTTTACCCTCCCCCTCCACTGCGCGAGAGCTCTGTGAGGCTTCGCGGCCTCTAGCCTCCTTCATGTCGCTGGGGCTTGGAGCAGCGCTGGCGGGGGTGGGGGGGAAGGAGGAGGAAGAGGAGGGGGAGGCGGAGGGGGAGGGGGAGAGGGTGGGTCAACAAGAATGGCACGGAGCAGGAGGATGATGATGATGAGGAGGAGGAGGCGGAGGCGGAGGAGGAGGAGGAGAAGCAGGAGGAGGAGGAGGCCGAGGCGGAGGAGGAGAAGGAGGATGAGGAGGCGGACGCGAATGCGGCTGTTGTTGACGATGATAGTCATGATGATGTGAAAGAGCGTGTTCTACCGCTGCTGGCGGAAAACCGGGGGGGGTCACTACACTCCTACCCGAACCCCTCCCCCCCCCTCCCGGTGGGGGGGGTCACTACCGGTTCGAACCCCTCCCCCCCCCCCCCCCCCCCCCCCCCCCCCCCCCCTGTCATCATGGAAAGGGGGGGGGGTCACTACCGGTTCGAACCCCCCCCCCCCCCCCACCCCCCCCCCCCTCGAAAACCGAGTGGGGGTGCGGACAGTGGTGGGGACGGTGTTGGTGGGGACAGTGGTGAGGGGACAGCGGGACAGTGGTGGGGACAGCGGGGGGACAGTGGGACAGTGGTGGGGACGGTAGTGGTGGGGACAGTGGTGAGGGGATAGCGGGACAGTGGTGGGGACAGTGGGACAGTGGGACAGCGGTGGGGACGGTAGTGGTGGGGACAGTGGTGGGGACAATGGTGGGAACAGGGGGGGACAGTGGACAGTGGTGGTGACGGTGGTGGTGGGGACAGTGGTGTGGGGACAATGGGAATGAGGTGGAAACAGTGGGACAGTGGAGGGTACAATGGTGGTGGGGACAGTGGTGAAGGCGGTGGCGAGGACGGCGGTGGGACAATGGGACAGAGGTACAGTGGGGACAGTGGTGGGGACAGTGGGGACAGTGGTGGGAACAGTGGGACAGCTCAGTGGGACAGCGGAGGAGTCAGTGGGACAGTGGGGACAGTGGGGATAGTCGGGCAGTGGTTGGGGCCGTGGAGACAGTGGGGAGAGTGGAACCGTGG